TCAGACTGCCCAAAAACTCTCACCTAACTACTTCAAGACACCCTTCACCACTTCAGGTTGCAGCCTGCTTAAACAGGTGGTTTTCAGGGTCTTTCGGACCTTTCACCACTTCAGGATCATTCAGGATCTTCAGACGGCCCAAAACTCTCACTTCAGAATTTTCATTTCTGAATTTTCAGCTACCCGATAACCGCTTGTGGGAAGGGGAGGGGGTGGGCCACCAGGCCGTGCCGATGACAACGAAGGCATAGCAGGGACCGTAGACAACAGATGGGGTCGTCAAGCGGGCAACGCTGCGGACCATGGCGCCGCCGCATCGGGAGGATCACAATCCACTACACTTGACGCTGAAAGCCCGAAACTTTGGGCAAGCACATTAAATGGAATGTGTTAAATGTAAGGGCAATGACCATGCATGTTGTGAGAGAAGCAAGAGCACACAATGCGACTCGCGAGTCCCTTGAACGACATACAGAGACAAGTCATCTGACATGTGTCGTCCTGCATGCGGACATCTATGGTCGTTCAAGCGCTCGTGCTGCATGTAAATGAAGAAAGGTCACTAGCTATTCCTTGATGTGATATTAAGGAGTTTGCGGAGAAAGAGAGGGAGGTCAATGAACCTTCCTTTGTTTAGTGAATATGCTGAAACGTGCTGTTCCTTTTCTGTGAGCATAATCAGGTCTTTCTTTCTTCCTGCAAGGAGAGGTCATCAATAGATCATCAATCATGTACGATGGAGAAAGGTCACTAGCTATTCCTTTCTGATTGATTGATGAGCTCTCCTCGCAGAGGATGCCAGCTTCGGCTCTGTTGGTCAAACAGGAGACGAGGATACTACCGTCTTCACCCGAATAGAACGCCCGATCATTATCGCTGCATCTAGACTGAAAGTTGCCCAAATGCAGCTCAAATGACAGGGCGTTCTATTCGGGAGAACACGGTAGTGCTTGTGGGGTTATCGCCCAGATCAGTTGCAGTTGTACGCACTGTATTAAACTGATGTACAACATGCATCATTGCCAATCTGGTGGCAACTGTTTGTTCAAGAACTTCTTAGAAATGTTGTAGACGGTGTTAGCATGTCCGTCAACAGTTCTGTCAGCGCGATCGACATGGTCATGATGAATCAAAACTGGTAGCAGCAACACACCTTCCATCACGTGGCAGCTCTGTTGTGACATTTCTGTTGGCCTGCTGTGTTCAAAATTGTGCAACTGGTCGGCCCGCCGTACCTTGTGGGTTTAGGTTATAATCTCTCTCTCTCTCTCTCTCTCTCTCTCTCTCTCTCTCTCTCTCTCTCTCTATCTATCTATCTATCTATCTATCTATCTATCTATCTATCTCTCGCTCGCTCTTTGTGTGTGTGTGTGTGTGTGTGTGTGATTGCAAGGCCACAAATCCAATGACATTTATGTTGGCCTGCTGTGTTCAGAATCGTGCAACTGGCTTCAGCCGGCCCGTAGTACCTTGTGGGTTTAGGTTATAATCTCTCTCTCTCTCTCTCTCTCTCTCTCTCTCTCTCTCTCTCTCTCTCTCTCTCT